TTCTGAAATCGTCCTGCTTGTCATTTCTTATAGCACGATAGTATTCCATTACGTTCATATACCATGACTTGTTCAGCCATTCCCCAATGGATGGGCATCCCCTCGAGCTCCAGTCTTTGCCACCACAAAAAGAGCTGCTATAAATAATTTTATACAAATAAGTCCTTTTCCCTTTTTTATGGTCTCTCTGGGATACAGCCCTAGAAGTGCTGTTGCTGGGTCACAGCGTATGCACAGTTTTGTAGCCCTTTGGGCATGGTTCCAAATTGCCCTCCAGAATGGTTAGATCAGTTCACAACTCCACTGACAGTGCATTAGTGTCCCAGTCTTCCCACATCCCCTCCAGTATTTGTCATTCTTCTATTTTGTCACGTTAGCCGATCTGATAGCTGTGAGGTGATACCTCGGAGTTGTTTTAATTTGCATTTCTCTAATTGATGATTATTTGGAGTGTTTTTTCATGTGACTGTCGATAGCTTTGATTTCTTCTTCTAGAAACTGTTCCTATCCTTTGGCTCTTTGTCAATTGGGGAATGGTTCTCATTTTTATAAATTTAACTCAGTTCCTTATCTATTTGAGAAATGAGACTTTTGTCAGAGAAACTTGCTGCAAATAGTTTTTTCCCACTTCCCACTTTTCCTTCTAATTTTGGTTGCATTGCTTTTGTTTGTGCAGAACCCTTTTCAATTTCATGTCATCAGAGTTGTCCACTTTATTTCCTGTGCTCCTCTCTGCCTCTTATCTGGGGAGTCGGGCTCTAACTGATCCTTTCAGCCTGATTTCATATTCTCCTATTTCAAAGGATTGTAGCTTTAGAGCCACTAAGCCGGCCCCCTCAGGTAATAGAGGCGCTGACTGAGCCCCAGAGAGGTTCAGTTGCTTGACTTATCCGAGGGCATTTGGGTAGCAAGGGGTCCATGGGGGATTCGAACTCCAGATCCAGCAGTTTGTACCCTTTGGCCTCGGTGATCCCCACTCAGCTCTGTCCTCTTCTTCCCCAGAGCTTTCTCCTGACTTTGTTCACGCGGTCCTTCCTTCCTCCCCTGTCTAACTGCTGATGCTGTCTCTCCTCCTTCAAAGCTGGGCCCAGAGGCCTGGAAGTCTCCCTGATTCCCTTCTCAGCCCTCATCCCCTTGGATTCAGTCCCGTCCCCATCACTTTCAGTGGCAGCCAGGTGGCACCGGATCTGAAGCAGGAACCCCCAAGTTCACATCTGGCCTTAGACACTTACTGGCGGGGTCATCCTGGGCAAGTCACTGTAATCTGTGTGTCTACCTCAGTTTCCTCAAATGAGGATAACAGTGCTTCTCTTGCAGGGTTATTGTGAAGAACAAATTAGATAATCTTTGTGAAGGGCTTTGCATAGTGCCTGGCACATATAGTAGGTGCTATATAAATATTTACTCCCGTTCCCAGCATGTCTTTCTATTTCACTCTCCCTGGTATCAAGGTTATTTGTTTTCCCGCCTTTCTTCCCTGTCAGATTTTAAGAGCAGGCCTGTGCCCTGACCTCTCTTTGTGTCTCGGGTGCCTATCACAGCCCCTTGCATACACTGGGTGCTTCACAATTGCTTGTTGGAGGAGCGAGTGAACATTTGGCAGATGGCTCTGGGGAAGGAACCAGTTGAAGTTGCCAAGCCTGTTTCTGTCTGCCCGGGTCGGTAATTCCCACAGAGCCAGAAGCTGTACGGTCATTTCGTGGGCATCCGTCGTGCTGTGACCAAGAGTTATATTTGGAGTCCGGCCTCCATTGCCCTCTCTCTTCCTTGCTTCACAGTAGCATGGTTCCCTTTTGGCAGTACCGCCACGCCCACTTAGTATGAAGCAAGTGGAGAGGGAGGGGCTGGGGGCACAGGTCTACACTAGAAGCCACTTCCCCTCAAATTCACCTGCGTTTGACACAATTGAGCTTCTTAATGTGGTCACGAGAGGCCACTAGGCCGCTCCGCAATTAGAGCGCTGGGCCTGGAGTCAAGAAGACATGAGTTCAAATCTGGCCTTAGACACTTACTAGCTGGGTGACCTTGAGAAAGTCACTTTACCCATGCCTGCCTCGGTTTTCCCATCCATAAAATGGAGGTAATAATAGCTCCACCTTCCCAGGGTAATTGTGAGGACCAAATGGGGTAATACCTTGTAAAGTGCTTAGCCCAGTGCCAAGTACATAGTAGGTGCTTCATCTAGGTGACTGATTCAGAAGCCACACATAGGGGCAGCGAGGTGGCGCAGTGGATAGAGCACTGGCCCTGGAGTCAGGAGGACCCGAGTTCAAATCCTGTCTCAGACCAGACAGTTGACACTAGCTGTGTGACCTTGGGCGAGTCACTTAACCCCAAATGCCTTACAAAAAAAAAAAAGAAAGAAAAAAGCCACCTATATTGATCCTTTAGGGGAGATTGGGACTCCCTTCAGGCACTTCTGGTTCATATTTTGCCTCAGGATTAGGAAGAGCATGGCAGCCTTTAGATGGGGACAAGCACTGTACCTGTGACTGAGGGTAGAGGTCTGTGCAGATGGGCATCTCAGAGGTTAAGTGACTTGCCCAGCGTGACACAGCCAGGATATGTCAGGGATGGGACTTGAACCCAGCTCTTCCTTGTTTCTGAGGCCGGCTCTCTCCCCACCATGCCGTGCTCCCTCTTGGGAGCATCCTAACAATGATGATAATAATGGCTGGCCAGCTCTTGGGTATCACTTTATTTTTTTTTTATTTTTATTTTTTAAATTTTATTATTTTATTTTGATTTATCAACAATCACTCCCATATGCTTTTGAGTTGAAAATTTTTCTCACCCTTCCTCCCCCCCACCCTCCCCAAGACGGCGTGCAATCTGATATAGGCTTTACATTTACATTCCCATTAAACATATTTTCATGTTGGTGAAGTTGTAAGTAAAAATTAAAACCAATAGGAGGAACCATCAGAAAGAGGAAACAAAACTCAACAGAAGGTAAAAATAAGTGATAGCGACTCGACTTCCATAGTTCTTTCTTTGGATGTGGACAGCATTTTCCATCACAAGTCCTCTGGAGATGTCTTAGATCCTTGTAATGCTGAGAAGGGTTCAGTTTAACAGTATTAGTCATTGCATAATGTGGCTGTTACTGTGTACAAAGTCCTCCTGGTTCTGCTCACTTCGCTCAGCATCAGACCATACAAGTCTCTCCAGGTTTTTCTGAAGTCAGCCTGTTCATCATTTCTTATAGCACAATAGTATTCCCCTACATTCATATACCACAGCTTGTTCAGCCATTCCCCAATGGATGGGCATCCCCTCAATTTCCAATTCTTTGCCACCACAAAAAGAGCTGCTTTGAATATTTTTGTACATGTGGGTCCTTTTCCCATTTGTTTGATCTCTTTGGGATATAGTTGGGTATCACTTTAAACAAAGCGTTTCCCAGGTGATCTCACTGAGTTTCCCCAACAGTCCTGGGAGGTAGATGAGGAAACTGAGTCTGTGAGCAGTGAAGAGGCTCCAGCCTTCCAAGAAGGGAATGAGCTGCCTCAGTTGCCACCCCTGCTCTTGGAGGATCCAGAAAGGTGGGCCTGGATGGTCTTGGGGTAGACCGACTGATAGAGAGGCAGCTTGGAGCTGCCTCGAATGGAAATTCCTCCTTATCGCTGTGGCTCCTGGCATTTCTCTGGCTGCCCTGCGCTCCTTCTTCCTCTCCAACTAGGGACCTCCCTGGCTTCCTGTAAGCCCCAGCTAAAAGCCCACCTCCTATGGGAAGCCTTCCCCAAGGCCTGTTCATTCCAGTGCCTTCATCCCTCAGTTGTACGTGTGTGTTTGCATGTTGTCTCTCCTGTTAGAATGTAAACTCATCGAGGAACCAGGAGAACACTGTACTCAGTAACAGCAACATTACATGACGATCCACAGGAATGACTTAGTTATTCTCAGCGATACTGTGATACAGGACCAAAGAACTGGTGGGGAAGATGCCCTTCACATCCAGAGAAAGAAGCTGTGGAGTGTGAATGTAGATCACAGCAGACTAGTTTCACTTTCTTTATTTTTTTGTATATTTTTTTTCCCTTTTGGTCTCTTTTTTTTTCATGCGATGATTTATATGGAAATAGATTTCACATAATTGCACATATATATATACACACACACACACACACATATATATACACACACACACACATATATACACACACACACATATATACACACATATACACACACACATATATATACACACACATACACACACACACACACACACACACACACACACACACACACAATCTCCTGTATCAAATTGCTTAACATCTTAAGGGTGTAGATGAGGGAGGAAGGGAGAAAATTTGGAACTCAGAATTTTTAAAGGAATGTTAAAATTTTTCTTTGCATGTAATTAGAAAAAAATAAAGTACCATTAAAAAATTAAAACATAAGAAAGCATAGGAAAAAAAAAAGAACCTAAGCTCCTTGAGGGCAGGGACTTTTCCTCTGCCTCGTTTTGTACCCTCCTTACTTAGCACTGTGCCTTGCTCCTAGCTGATTGATTAGCACTGCAGTTTAAAGTCTGCCGGCCTGGGGGCACTGCACGGATGTTACTTGACAGCGTCTTTGGAGACGCTGGGATCCAGGCCTTCCATTCAGAGTGCAGGCTCTTTGCCAGCAGGGATGGTTTCTTTCTTTGTATTTGCCTCCCTGGGGCCTAGCACAGTGCCTGGCACGTAGAAGGTGTTTAATAAATACTTCTTGATCTGAGCGATTGACTGGTTGATTCCTGGCTATGAGGATGGTTCTGCTCACTCTGCTGTACTGCCTCTTACTGGTGTAAGAAATATCTCTGCAAGACAGGTGAGGTATTACTGAGTGTCACTGGAACAGCTGTCTTACTTTTGGGACAGTCGGTCTCATCTGGGTTCCAGCCAAGCTGTGTGTAAGCGCTCCCCGAGGTCTAGTGTCTCCCCGGGAACCGGGCGTCCTGTCTCTGGAGAAAAGAGGTGGGCACTCACCCTGACTCTCTTTCCTGCCCACAGACCTGTAACGCTTCCTTTGCCACCCGTGACCGCCTGCGCTCCCACCTGGCTTGCCATGAAGACAAGGTACCCTGCCAGGTGTGCGGGAAGTACTTGCGGGCAGCATACATGGCGGATCACCTGAAGAAGCACAGCGAAGGACCGAGCAACTTCTGCAGTATCTGTAATCGAGGTAATCTTCCTGCTGCCTGGCGTCCTGGCGGGTGGCGGTGAGCGTGGGTGTTTGAGAGAGGGTTCGTGTCGCCAGCATCCCGCCACGTCCTTGGCTTACCCCCACGCCGCTCTTCCTTCCCACTGAGCAGGAAGCATGGCCTGGCTTCTGCTTCCTGCTAACTGCTTGCTCACTCAGTGTTGGGGGCCAACCCAAGGAGCCGGGGGTAGGGAGGGAGCGGCGTCTCTGCCCAGATTTGGGTCCTTGTGTCTCTTGGGGATTTGGGGGAACTGGATGGATGAGGTCAAAGCTGTAAAGATGCCGGTCCATTTGTGTGCTCTCAGTGGCAGGTACATGCACTTGTAGATAGCCTGGCAGTAGGACGTTGCCGGGGCGGCAGTGCGTCCCCTGGCGAGGGTAGACTCTGACTTTCTTCTAGCCAGCACTGGAGATCTAGGGGGAGTTTGGGGTGGCAAAGACTCTGGGGCATGAGTAGATAGAGAAGAACCCACTGAGTTCATTGTATCCGGTTACAGTTTCATTTCCATCTCTTTGGACGGCCATTTACCTGGCAAAATTCTGATAGATCCGTGCCCAGAGTAGGTGAGAACACTGTGGGGATCTGGGCAGTTGGGCGGGAGGTTCCGTTTCCCAGCCGTCTCTCTTGGTTGCCAGACTGGGAGAGGAGGGATGTACAGCTCACACCTAGGGACCCTGAAGGAATCCAAAGAGGCCACATGGGGACCAGTTGTGTGGGAAGATGCTGAAAGGCCAACTCTTTGTGGTGGTCGTGGCGGAGCCAAGGGGTCTCTTTGGAGCCCCTGCAGGTAGAACAGACAGAGCTGAGCTAAGGAGATTTTCATCAGAGGGGACACGTCCAAAGGCTCCCACGGGATTTAAGAATGGTGGGCTTGGCAGGTCAGGTCAGGTGGGAAGAACGCTGGACCGTGGGGTCAGGAGATCGGGGTTCTTGTATTGGCTCCGCCATTTACTTGACACGTGATGTGGGCAGGTCACGTCTCTGAAACTCAGTTTCCTCATCTGTAAAATGGGGATGATAACACCTGCCCAGCCTACTTCACGGGGTTGTGAGGATCAAAGAATCGTATGGATTTGAGAGCAGACTTTGCATACTCAGGGCTTTACAGATAAGGCGCTAGTATTATTATTGTTATTATTACTACTATGGGGGAGGGTGTGACTTCTGGCAACCCCTTAGATAAACCATCCTTGTGATCCTCGGCGTAAGTATCTAAGAAGTGTCCAGATGCTTCACAGATGTGAAGTGATGTTAATAACAGCCCTCAGCAGAGGGGCTGGAGGGGTAGCGTATCGCCTGATGGCTCACAGACTGAGGTCACAATGGCGTGGGGCAGTCACAGCATGGGAGATCAGAGGCTGGGCTCACTGGCCCCTGGGAGCTGATGCTTTTCATCAGATGCTCTTAACAAGAGAACCCGGGTTGGGCTGATTGCAAAGCCATCATTTCCAGAAAGTTAAGAGACCCTCAAGTTTTTGGACACCTCCTTGAGGTGGAAGTAGTGCTTGTAGGGAAGATGTGCAGGCAGGCCAGCCGGGCTGGGTGTGGAGGCCGTATGTAGCTGGCTTAAAGTGCTTGGGTGGTAGTGGGGGCGAGACATTGAGCCAATGGGATTTCCCCCCTCCTCCAGTCAGATGTAGCTTTCAGATGGTGCCTAAGCATCCTTTCAAACCCAGACAAGCCAACTGTTGGCCAGTGTTTCCACAACAATCTTCCGTTGTCATGGCTCTTAGCATCTGGTAAACTTTGTGGAGGCCAGTGAGAGATGATACTGGTTCTCCCAGGTGAATTGGAGAGTCCTAGCTATTGTCTCCAGGACAAGGGGACCCCATGGAACCTCATTAATGGACCCAGCCCTGGACAGTGACATGAAGACCAGAGAATGGAGACCACAGACTATGACAGAATATGGAAAATGCTGAACAGATTGGAAACAGACCCCAAGTGAAGAGGCAGCTAATGAAAACAATTGACATTTTACAAGATTTATATGGTTTTCTCTCCTAGAGCTGGCAAAGAGGGTGGTGTGGCTGCTGGAACACAGACTTAGTCACTGGGATAAATGATTCAGAAACAATGAAATTGAAGACCACGTTTTCTCAGAAGGGCCACATTTGGATCCAGGTTGCAGATGGCATGTCCTTGGGCCTCAGCCCTGGAGGCCTTTGGCCCCCTTTCTCCAGGGCACCAGAAGAAAAGTCAACTTTAGGCTAACCCATCTTGGGAAGTCAGAGGGACAGGATATGATCCAATTCTTAATCAGAGAAGAAAAAAAATAAAGCATTTGCTTTAATGTTTGAGGTTTGCAGAGTACTTTTCCTAGAATTATGGGACTAGGCTGGTTCCTTGTACAGATGTAGAAAAAGAATCAAGCAGAGGACGTTTGGCAGAGAGTGGAAGATGAGGCATCATTTCTGGACATCAGAGACACTTTTAAGCCGCCATCTATGTACAGGGGGACATGGGAGCTTAGGACATATTGTTATTTCCTTCTCCGATAGAGAAAATTGGTGTAGAGCCTCACTTAAGAAGATACCCTGGCCCTAGCCATTCTAGACAGTTGAGAAATGCATTTCTTAAGCACCTGCTCTGTGCCAGGCACCATGTTATGTGCTGGGGATGCCAGGAATGGCCAGGGGCTGCTTTGGGTTGTCTTCAGCCCAGGGCAGTGCCTCTTTGTGTGTTGTAGAGATGATTTCAGCAGCATTCCTTCGGGGGCTTGGTGTACGTAGGGTCACGTCCACCATCTCTGTTCACCAGCGGCCTAGCAGTCGTCCCCGGAGGATGTTTGCCTCTGGGGGTCAGGTGCCCGCCTGCCTGGCGCTGGGAGGAGATGCAGCTCACGTGGTGGGGAGCCTGGACAAGAGGACCGCCAGGCCCTTTCTAATGAATCCTGGGAAATTCCCAACATCCCTCTCCTCCTGTGGAGTCCAGAACTCTTTGGGGCCGGGCACGAGAGGGGGCTGGAGCCGGCTTGTGCCGGCTCCTGAGGCATTGTTCTGTTCATAGCGTGAGCCTTCGTACCTCAGAAATCAGCAGATGCTACAAACCGGGACTTGATTCATTGTTTTACTGACTGTCTAGACTTTAAAAAATGATGGAGACCGTGTGAATGGGGCGGGTTAAACTTAAAAGTGTGTAATTTTGTTTTTTGAGAGCTGCTTGTTAAACATTTACCAGCAGCCACCCTCTGGTTAGAAGCCTAATGGTCTGAAAGCCTCAGTTGTAGTGGGATGCACGTTGTCAAGAAGGATGGTGGAGAAGGGGTGGGGCAGGGGGCTGTAGCCCCATGATGGAGTACCCTGTGTGTAAGGGTAGGGAGTTAGCCATGAAGGAAGATGGGAGCCGGGAGAATGGAAGGGCCAGGCCTAACCCATTTTCAGCATTGGAAGGAATAGTCGAGTTTAACAGCAGGACAGGAGTAGCTATTCATTACCTGTTTAGTTTTAACAGAGAGGGTGTGTGTGTGTGTGTGTGCCCGCCCTACCCCACCACCAGTACCAGATAAAGGAAGATTTCTTCCCCTGGGGATTGCAGCTAGCTCCCATCCCCAGAGGTGCAGCACCTGGGAGTCAGGAGCTAGTGGGCTCTGGGTGGAGGGTGGAAGTCGTGGCCTAGTTTGGCCTCCAGGCTCCTTGTCCGCCAAGCGAGGCTGTGGATGTTGTCATCTCCATTTCATGCGCCCCCTCGCTGCCAGGGTTCTGACCCGAGGCACTCAGCCCCCGAGATGCTTTCTGCCCCAAAGCTCTACTTGGGCCCTCTTCACCTTTGTCCCCATGTCTCTGTGCTCCTTGTAGCCATAGTCGAGACCAGCCTAGTGCCCTGTTCTCCTGGAAGTTGCTTTAGCTCGTGCTGCGGTATTCCTAATATCCAGAATAGCTCAGCGATTGGAAAAAGAAAGAAAGAAAGAAGGAAGGAAGGAAGGAAGGAAGGAAGGAAGGAAGGAAGGAAGGAAGGAAAGAAGGAAAGAAGGAAAGAAGGAAAGAAGGAAAGAAGGAAGGAAAGAAAGGAGCCAGGGTCTCCAGATCTCCCAGCAGCCTCATTTAGGCAAAGCTAGGTAAAGCTGGGTGCACCCCCTCCTCAGGGGCCAGTCACAAAAATACGATTCAGGCCCTTTCAGGGCAGGAAGGGGGGGATCTGTGCAGCCTGACTCGTGAGCTGCTCCATTAGGTTCCCACCTGCCCCTCTGCCCAGGGTCCAGTGCCCGCAAGGCCATACCATCCAGTAACAGGTGCTCCATCTAGTGCCTTCGTGCAGGGAACTGGATATAAGAGGCACAAAGACATAAAAAAAACCCAGTCCTGCCCTCAGAGAGCTTGCATTCTGAGCATTGCTTCTGGACCCATTTATGACCCAGTCCCCAAAGCAGCGAGTAGATTTCATTCAAACCTTACTCAGTTTCTCTATTGAGAACCAAGCAGTTTTATCAGACAAGCATCAGACACCAGTGTAAGATTTAGTCCACCCCCCTCCCTGAAGCAACAATTTCCAGAGCCCCTCCCACCCACCCATCTGTCCATTTATTCATCCACCCGTCCATTGACAAGTATTTGTCAAGCCCTGCCTGCGTGCCTTGTTGGGGATACAAGTACAAAGAATGAAACCATTTCTGTGTGCAGCAACAGCAGACTTTGCCCTGCCTTGCCCCTTACCTTCCTCTTCCATTACCATCCTCTTCCTCCTCGTCTGGGAGCACCCGTTCAGCCTTTCAGTGTAGGAGGCTTCTTTTCCTACTCCCATTTCATTTCAGCACATTTGCTAAGTGTCTTACTGTCTTTTCACCCCTGGGCTAGGCACTGTACTCAGAGATGCCCTGCTCTCAGAGATCTTCCATACTAATCCATCCACACAGCACAGATACACAGATGCTGTTAGGGGTCAGGGACCGGACAGCAGAATAACTAGAATTCTCCTCCACAACGATCTGTACACTTCAGGGTAAGGAAGGCAGGAGGGGGGGGCATCCCCTGCCCCCGTTCCCATACGCCTCCTGGCTGACCACAAGCTCTCCTCGCACAAGCCCTGGCCTGTGCCCAGAGAGGGAAGTCACTTACCTGGTCACACAGCCCGGAAGTGTCTGTGCTGGGACCCTAGCCCAAGCTGTGCTAGTGGGGTTCATCAGACATGACAGTCAAAATAAAGAGCAGATGAGTGGCTTTTCTAAGTATGTATTGGGCTATCTCTCAGGACCATTTGGTCCTGTACAAGTGGGCCCAGTCGGTCATGTCTTTAAAAAAAAAAAGTCATGAAAGTTTCAAGTGTATACAAGCTGAATCATTATTACTGGGTTGAAGGGACGTAGCCACTTTACCCATCCCCACGCCCTCTGCCCCAAAAATGTTGTTTTAAATCTTCTAGAACGGCTAGAGTTTCATAATATCCCGATTTGGAGATGTGCGTACTAAAGCCAGTGGTGTCATTGGACTCTTCTCCAGACATACTGGAGACAGCAGCATTAGCTGGAGAAAGCCCAGAAATCGCACTCCTCAGTGCGGCTTTGGTTCCAAGCAAATGGATGGAGATTAACGGCAGAGGCACCATCTTCATTTCACACTTTCTAGAGAGTCAGAGTGGACCTCTGAAGCCTCTCGGCTCTGAAAATATAACTCCAGGGTCGGAAACCTACGGATAAAGACATGTAGAAACAGAGATAACTGTGTCCCTTTAATGTGACTTCCCAATTTTAAAAGTACTTTAGCAATTCGGAAGATGTCAGCAGTTAATTCATAGTTATTTCCCGAGGTTGCAATTAAAAAACAAACTCTCACCCCAAAGAAACAAAATCTGACTGTTCAGGGGAACTTTGCCCTTAAGGTCTGATCTCCTCTGGTTTCCCTGGACACCAAAGAGGGCGTTTGCTCTGTTTCATTTTCTTAAAAAAAAACAACAAACCCCGACTCCTGCTTTGCTGGTTCTCAGATGCCAGGGCTGAATAGGCAAAGAACTCCCTGCCCCCTGCCCCGCTGGGTCTGACCGCCTGACCTCCGTCACCCCGTGGAGATTCTTGCCCCGTCTGAGGAGAGCAAGGCCAACTCTCACTTGGCGGAACCTGTCTCTTCCCCCTCGCTGCACAAGCAGAATCTCTTGGTTCAGTGACTGTTCTCGTGCTGAGTTGTGACGGTCTGAACCGGCCCGAGATAGCCGCGGAGGCTGGTCATCTGTCCGAGGGGCGAGGAAGGACGGAGATGTTTTGGCGTCCGGTTTCTTCCCCTGCCGAACGTTTACTGAGCGCTTTGGTTCAGACCCGGGGCGCTGGGCTCTGCCCTGTGGGAGTTTTACCCGGCAGGGCTCTCCCCACTCCCGGGCTGCCTCGGTCAGACGCCATCCCCCCCCCCCCCCGCCTTGCCCCCCTAGCGCGAGCCCGGCAGCCGGGCGCAGTCGGGGAAACTGAGGTCTCTCGGTGCCGGCGGCAGGATCTCATCTCCTTTTGTCTCGTTTAGGTTTCTCCTCTGCCTCCTACTTAAAGGTCCATGTTAAAACCCACCACGGTGTTCCCCTTCCCCAGGTCTCCAGGCGCCAGGAGCCCATCCCGAATGGGGGAGCAGCGTTCCACTGCGTCAGGACCTCTGGCACCACAGGCAAGGACTCCCTGCTCTGCACGCTGCTTGTCTGCGCAGACCGTGCGGTGGGCGCCGGGCTGGGCACGGGGAGGAGGGGCGGAGCGGGCCGGCTGCCCAGAGGCGGCCGTCGAGGGCGGGCACCAGGCGGTCTCAGGCTGGGCCCTGGGGATTGTGAGTGAGGCTACTCGGGTCCCCCAGCCAGGCCCCACACACCTCCCGGCCCTCGCCTGCACTCTGCCGCCGCCAGCCCTCCCCTGACTCCTGGCCCCGCGCCCCCCCCCCCTGCATGATAAACCAGAGGACGTGTCCAGGGTGAGCAGGGGGTCTGGAAGCATTGAAGCCAACTGCTTCCAACCTGCCTGTGGCCGTGAGGTAGGCTCCTGTGAGGTCAGAAGTGTGGGCCGATGAAGCCTCCTCCTTCCCTAGGGCCTCCTGGAGAGCCTTGAGTCACCCAGGGAGAAGGGGAACTGCCCCCGTTGGTTGGTGAGACGCGGTCTGTTGTGGCCTCGGCCGTGAGCCCCGGGGGCTCAGCCGGCCAATCGCTCTCCCCCGCCCTGATTGATGGCATGCTCCCTGCTCCCATCAGGGGCTCGAGAGGTCCACGGCAAGAGCCCTGGGGTCGGGGCCTGTAGCTCTGCCTTCTGCAGCCCCCTTGCGGCCTTGGGGCTAGTCAGGAGTGAGGCCGTTGGACACAGCGGGCTCCGGGCCTGAAGTCTTTAGGGAGAGGCTGAAGGGGCTTGGGACGAGCTGGGGTGCTCGCGGCCAGCGGTGGTGAGAGGAGGAGTCGGTCTGGCCTCGTCTCTCTCCCAGGCTTCCCTGGGGGGGGGGGCTGCAGGCAGGTAGGGTCTGCACAGGTTGTGTGTGCAGGCAGTCAGGCAGGCGGGCAGGTGGGCGTCTCTTATCTGGAGCAAGGAGAGCTGGAGTCAGACGAGGAGGCAGTGTGCTACCTTAGTGTGGAGCGCACGGGATTTGGAGCCAGAGGGCCTGGGTGTGAATGTTGCTGCTGCTTCTCACCACCTTGGTGACCTTGGGCGAGTTACTCCAATTTTTCTGGGCCTCTGTTTCCTCCCCTGTAAAATGAGCAAGGGGCTTGGACGGGATGATCGCCAACGGCCGTCTTGGAGCTCGCAATCCAGGGCTCTGGGCTCCACTTTCTTGGGGTAACTAGTGCTTCTTCTTCCCGGACCCAAGATGCGGGCGAGCCGAGTGTGGCAGCTCGGACAGGACGGTCCTGCCCTGCTAGGGAGGCGTGCTGGGCCAGGGGGCCTCCGCGAATGGTGTTTGTTGGTGGATGGCCTTCTTCTGTGGCCTTGAACTGCGAGGGGGGCAGCCTGGACCTGGCTGTTGGCAGGTGTTCAGGGACTGTAGATTGGTCTCCTCTGCTGTCCATCCCATCCTCGGGCTGAGGTGGGGGCGAGGCGGAGGGCAGTGGGCAGAGAAGGCCCTAGCGAGGAAGGCGGCATCTCTGGGGGGGTCTCTTGATCCCTTTCCTCACAGGTGCCTGGCCCACGGACTGAGCGGTTAGGCCTCCTGGGGCCCTTCTGGGGCCACGTCTGACTTGACTACCTGCTGGCCAGCCCCCTGCCCCCAGCCCCCAGATCCCAGCCCAAGCTTGCTAGTCTGAGCCCCCGCTCCCCTCCAGGAAGGGGCCTTTCCAAAGCCTGGCCTCATCTGTGTGTTTTGTCTCGTTCTGTTTATAGAAGGCCAGAAATGCTCACATCAGGACCCGATTGAGAGCTCTGACTCCTACGGTGACCTCTCGGATGCCAGCGACCTCAAGACCCCCGAGAAACAGAGCACCAACGGTTCCTTCTCTTGTGACATGGCCGTCCCCAAAAACAAGATGGAGCCTGACGGGGAGAAGAAGTACCCCTGCCCCGAGTGCGGGAGTTTCTTCCGATCCAAGTCCTACTTGAACAAACACATACAGAAGGTGCATGTCCGGGCCCTCGGGGGGGCCCTTGGGGGACCTGGGCCCCACTCTGGGCTCCCCCTTCTCTCCCCAGCAGAACATGTCCCTCCTGGAGTCCTTCGGCTTTCAGATCGTGCAGTCCGCATTCGCTTCATCGCTCGTGGACCCAGAGGTCGACCAGCAGCCGATGGGGCCGGAGGGAAAGTGAGGTGGGCTCGTCCCCCGGAAGCAGCAGTGCGATGCTGAGGATGAGGAAGGAAGTGATGTCATTGGGTTCCGTAGCTGAGAGATTTTTCTTCATTTTTAATCCCCAGACTCCCTCCCTCCACCCCCCCACCCCATTCCTAAAAGCTCTGTAGAGGTAGCTTCTCAGACCGAAGCCGTACGGGACGTCTCTGCGGCCGAGGACGAGGGTTAGGACACGGGACAGCCAGACACTACAGACGTCTCCGAGGCCACACCTGGACCGGCTTCCCGTGGAGACTCCCCGTGGCGTCCCGGGGCCCTCTCCCCTGTCCTTCCCTCCATCTTCCCCTCCCTGACCTCCCTCCTTCCACCCACGAAACCGCAGTAAGTTTTCCACCCACCTGCAAACACTGATCAATTCCCAGCTGTTCGGAAAGACTCCGGAAGCCTGTAGCATCTAGCAGACCACGGTGCCACGATCCTCTTCAGAGACTCTCAGAGAAGCTGGGCCGGGGGCTCCGAGATTCCCGAGCCCCCCAACCCCGCCCCCCCCACCAGAGGCCGGGAGGCTCCAGCTGCCGAGGGCACCCAACATCCCAAGCCAGTTCTCTTGGAACTTTGACCATTCAACTTGCTGTCGGGTTTTAATTCTCTGATTATTATTATTATTGTTATTATTTTTAGGACCTGTTGTAGTGAATTGCTACTGAAAGCCAGTCCAGGTGATATACAGAGCTCTTTTTAAGCAGCAGTCACATTAGGGTTAGTATTAAAATTTTTTAGGCGTATCATAAATAATAACTTGGCTAGTTGATGGTTTTAAGTCTATGGAAGAAATAGTTTTATGCAAAATTTTAAAAAAATGCCAGTCTGGTTGGGGTTGTAGAAGTTTGGTTTCTATCCGAGTACCCCAAAGATAGTAGAAGCCAGGAGTTGGGGACACTGTACCACTCGTATGTTGCGTTGAAATAAACCCAGTTTTGCCGAGTGATGTGATTTGATCTGATCAGACTGTATTAAAAAAGTTAGTATGTTACCCGCTTTGTCTGGTTATTGAATTGGGTAGTCTGGAGCTTGGGGCAAGGCAAGGAGCCGCTGATGCGACGGAGGGATGGGGGGCGTGGTTCCTGGTCTGGGGGTCCCAAGAAGCTTGGCTTGGAATGCCAGATTTTCTCTCAGGCGCGTTGTCCCTAGGGGCCAATTCCTGACCTCCCCTCTCTCTGGTGTCCCCTTGATGTCTGAATCCTAAGGTGCTCTGGTGTCGGCCGTGTGGTCCTGCCAGCCCCGTGGAGCCTCTGGAGCAGGAGCCCGGGGGTCTGTGGCTGCATCTCAAGAGTTCTGTGAACTTGGGTGGGGAAAAAAGGATGTCTGTCTTTCTGTGTTCACTAACCTGTGGTTTCCTTTGTAATCCTGTGTATTTAAAGCTATTTTTCTGAGAAGGGGCCCGTAGGCTTCCCCAGACTGCTGCCCCCCAGAAGGTTAAACAACCCTGGTAGAGAGGGGCCCCCAGAATGTAGACAGAATCCCCTCGTCTGATGAGAGGAATCTGACCCTGAAATGCTTTTGTTACAGCCTTACCGTGGCCTAGACTGTGCGCTTTGCACACAGGCCACGCTCCTATAGGTCGAGGAACGTCCGGGGTCAGGAGGGGAACCCTAATAACTGTATACACGTGAAGGCCAAGGCAAGCCAGGGTAGATGAGAAGGTCTTCACCAGGAGGAGGCAGCCTGAGGCTCCAGCAGTTCTCCAAAGAGCTCGGAGCCCTGCTCCACCACACCCCTTCCCAGCCCCCCTCTGCTGGCTGGCCTGTCTGCCATCTATCCTGGAGGGTCTCTGTCCCTCAGATGCCTTCTCCCAGACTGCCCCCCATGACCCTGTAGGTTCCAAACAACCCCTCAGATCTCACCCTCAGCAGTAGCCCTTCCCAGGCCTTCCAAGGCTACCAGGCTGTCCTCTGGGAAGGCCTTCTCTCCACTCTTGTATGTTCTTAATAAATAAATAAATGTCATTAGGTCGTGAGCTGTTGGAGCACAGGAGAAAGTCCTCTGTATGCCCAGAGCGTAGCGCAGCAAAGTGCCTGGCATGCAGTAAGCACTTACTAAATGCTTGTGGATGGCAGGGGGACCCGCTTCTATCTCCCTCTCCCTTCTTATTGGGTTAGGGAATCCCATGGAAGTTTCCTCCTTTTCTCCCTTTTCCGTGCCCCTTCCTTTCCCCCTCCATTCTCCCTTTAGATAATGACAGGTGTGGCTGGAGAGGCCTGGGCACGTGAGGAGCCCCAGGGCCAGCTTGGGTGCTCAGGGGACTGCAGCCTGGGACCCTGGGCCCTCCACAGTCCATGCAGCTTGTCCGCCCGCTGAGCTGGGTGGGACCCGCACGAGATCCGCAGGGACAGCTGGCCGAGGCCTCTTCTTTGTAGTGGCTTTCAGCCAACCCCTCCTCTCCACCTCCCTGTAGCTTGGGCTGGGCTGAGGGAAGGTCCCAACAGATGGCACCCGGCCTGACTGCCAGAGTCTTCTGCCGACGACACGCTGGACCTGGCAGCTGAGAGCCCTTCCCTAACAAGGGCTTCCCGGGCAGAGGTGGTAACCCCAGCCCTGCTCTGCCTCTGATCCCCAGAGTCAGCTGCTGGGAAACCTGCCAGCCTTGAGGACGGGAGAGGCTCAACCTTGTGGGAAGGAGAAGGGGGACCTGTGACATCCAAGGAGGAGATAGACCCTCGCCAATACAGTCAGCCACTCCTCTGCCACCCAGAGCCACACCGCCAGCAGGGGTCAAGGTGGCACCGAAACTCAGATCCTCTTGACGGAAGTTGATTTTGAAAAACCATACCGCACTAATTAAGTCCCTACTGTGTCTAGAACACCGCTGCAGGTGGTGGCCTCCATGCAAAACTGGGGGAAGACATGATTTGAAAAGTGCCTAGGACAGTTAGTACGTAGTAGGAAATTAATAATTCCTCCCTCCTTCCTTTCTTGGCTTCTCTTCCCTCTCTCTCTTCCTTTCTCCTTTCCTCCCTCCTTCCTTCCTTCCCTCGTTCTCCTTTCCTTCCTCCCTCCCTCCCTTCCTTCCTTTCCCCTTTCCTTCCTTCCCTCTGGGATGCTAGAATGAGAGCTCCAGGGCAGGGATTTGTCTCTGTATCCAGCATGTAACCAATGCCTGGAACACAGTAGGCACCTAATGAATGCTTGTGAATTGCCTGATTGACTGTAATTCATGAGGGTTCCTCCACTTCTTCCTGAAGTTCTTCACCAAGTTGAAAACTAGAATCCAGAGGAGGTGTGCAGGCTGAGAGCGGGGCTGTCGGAGAGGGGTGGTTTCAGTCAGTATGCGCTGACTAGTGCTGGGGGGAGTCAGGATGTTGTGGGGGGGGGCATCTGCCTGGGCCTCTGTTTAGCTCCTGGAGATCCCACTTTTCTCTCCAAATTCTCAAAATGAAACTTTAAATTCACTTTAAGGAGTAAATAAGTCTCATGGATATTGGAGGAGGGGAACGTGTCCTGGACCAAAAGAATGATTGCATCTGGCAACTTTACCCAAAAGCTGGGCAAAGGGCAGCCCCGAGGCAAGACTGGGCAGTAGCTGGTGCCCCTGCCGCTGAGTGGACCCCTGACCTTAGAGCAGCCCCTCCCTCTGGCATGCAAGGCTTCTCATGGGCCTCGAGGCCGGTGGGCAGACCGAGGACCTAGGAGAGCCAGCTCTAGGAGGCTACGTTCTGTGTTGTCTCCCAGCCCTGACACCCCCTGTTCTCAGGCCCCTCGGCCCCGACATCCCCTGTTCTCAGGCCCCTCCCGGCCCCGACACCCCCTGTTCCAGGCCCCTCCCGGCCCCGACACCCCTGTTCCAGGCCCCTCCCGGCCCCGACACCCCCTGTTCCCAGGCCCCTCTCGGCCCCGACGCCCCCTGTTCCAGCGTGCCCCGCCCCATCAGCGCAGTGTTCCTATGTACACCCTAACAGAATCCATCCTTCCTGTAGAATCTCAGGCATTAGCAGCAGGCTAATGGAGGGGGAGGACTCCGTCCCCTGAACCACAGCACGTGGACGGCCGCTGTCTCTGCCTCCCTGTGTGGCCCCGGCAGGGCGCTGGCAGCTGCTGGAGCCCGGCTCAGCCTCCTCCTGCTTTGGTGACCGTGAGCGGGTCATTTAGCCTCTGGGGGACTCAGCGTTCTCCTGTGTAAAATGGGGGATGGGCTCCACGGCCCCCCGACCTCCCGCGGTCCTAAGTCGGGACCCCCGAGCAGAGCCGCCCCCCACGCGGGCAGGCAGAAGCGCAGGGGTCGAGCCTGGGCTCGGGCTTAGACCGGCTGGTCGGAGCTATAATTACTCAGGCCCAGCACGGGGAGCGGCACTGAGCGCGGGGAGGCCAGGGCAGCATTCTGCCCGGTCCCCCGCCCCCCCAGGGGAGTTCCCTGGTGCCGTCCCTGACAGGGGCCCTGGAGTTGTGTTGGGAGACGAAACCAGAAGCTGGGGAGAGAGCAGCCCGGGGCTGTGGCGGGTCCGGCATGTGCAGAATTCACACCCATGACTTGGGGGTGGGCTTTCTTTGTCCCTTCCTAGCAATCTGTTAGTCAGCCAGTCCACAGGCTTCAAGTGCCTACTGTGTGCCGGGCCCCGTGCTCTGCATCTCTTTGTCTCTCTGTCCTGGCCTCTCAGATCTGCTTTAGAGGCCGGGATTCCACCTCTGCGTGGAGCTCCCCTCATCTCTGCCGCTGGATGGATGGAGAGAAGGCTTTCTGTATAGTTAAGAACGGAAGGGGCTAAAAGCCAGGAGGGCCGCTTCTGGTTAGGGCACCATGGAAGGCTTCGTGGAGGAGGTGGCCTTTGAATGTGGCTGGGAGGCTGGCTAGGATTTGGAGGAGGCTACACTGAGGCAGGCACAGAAGGCAGAGTGATCACAGTAGCAGGTAGCACTGGGCGTCAAGGCGGTGGATAGAGTGACCAGCCTGGAGGTAAGAGGGCCTGAGTTCAAATCTGGCCTCAGACACTTTCTAGCTGTGTGACCCTGGGCAAGTCATTTAACTCTGCCTCAGTTTCCTCACCTGTAAAATGAGCTGGAGAAGGAAATGGCAAGCCATCCAGTGTCTCTCCCAGGAAAACCCCAAATGGCGTCATGGAGAGTCAGTCACAAGTGAAATGACTGAATGACGCTAACATTTATATGGTGACTTAAGGCTGATGAAATATTTTACAAATGTTATCTCATCCGACCCTCACAACGACCCTGCCAGGTGAGTGTTATTATTGTCCCTGCTTTACAGATGAGGGAACTGAGGCAGACGGGTAAAATGAAGTGTCTGAGGCTGAATTTGAACTCAGCTCTTCCTAGCTCCAGGCCCAGCACTCGAACCGCTGGGTTACAAATCAACGTTCTCAGGGAGTTAGCCACCCTCCCAATATAACACACTGCCTCCCAGGTGTTTGATCAAAATGTGACTAGGGAAAGAGAATAAGCAATTATCCAGCACCTCCTGCATGCCAGGCATCGTGCTAAGTGGTTCGGGCTTTGTTTGATCTTGTTTTCACAGATATTACCTCGTTTGAGATTTCCCCTGGCTTTTATAGAGTTATAATTTCTCCTCTCAGATCTTGGGATCTCCCTGTTTCCGACTAACTGGTGGGCGAAGGCAGTGCCCCAGGCCAGCTCAGTAAGAATTGAACGAAGCTGATTTCGAGTGAATCGAATTGAACTGACACCAGGGTTTGCGATTTCTTCTGCTGCTGATTAATCCCACTGATCTCTGCTAGGCTAAATTCGTTGTTTCAGGAAAAAAATAAACATATACTTCCTGCCAAAACAATCATAACCCAAGCAAAGAAGGCACTGTCTGTCCAGGATTGAAAACAGCACTTTCTCACACACACACACACACACACACACACACACACACACACACACACACACACACACTTCCACGCGCACACATATGCATGCACATACGTGTGCACATATGTGTTCTCCTGCTTGCCCAACCTTCCCCCCACTTTCATACATCTTAAGGGTGGGGCACAATTTCTGTTTGTTTTCATTCTTGTC